AGCAGTTTGATAAATCATTAGAAATGAGAAAAATATTTAAGGAAGCAGATAAAAAACCTTTTAATCTTTCAACAATTATGGCAACTATTCATCCAAATGCTATTTATACAAGTAGATTATTGAATATTACAAATCTTCCTCAACCTGTAAACTCCAATAAAGTTACAATTATTTCTAAAAATAATGGTAATCATCTAATTTATCGTTAAGTATTTATTCTTAATTATTTATTATTAATGATATTTTAAATTATATAGAATCTAAACAAATTGAATTAACTATGTCAGATTCTAAACAAATTGAATTAACTATACCAGATAATTTAACCAGATTGAAGTGACCTAACATCATGTCTCTTATCATCATTTAGTATTATTTATTTATTATTTTATTAGTATTTTATATTCAACATTTATATATACACCTCGGGACCATAGTGAAATTTCAAGAATTTTGGTGACTATAGTGTTTGTGACTATACAGGACTTGTTTTTATTATGATTAATTAGTAGCAGGGAATTTTTCAAATTAACAAAAAAATGTGACTATATATACTATGTTGTGACTATATAGGATGTGGCTATATAGGAGTCTGATTGTACTGTTTTTAACATTTTTATCATAATAAAAATTGAGATAAAAATCTGTGTCACACAGTAAATCTCAATATTTTGTTTATAATAATATGCCAACAATGTTAATACTGTTGTATAATATGGATGGTTCTGCCCTATAGAAAATTTGCATACAGAAATTCTGTATGAATTATAATTTTTATTGCTATGAAATGTGGTGGGGTCCAGTCTGTACAATCTTCAATTCCATATTTTTGTTTCATATAGAGCTTTTTTTTACTACAGTGGCTCAGATGTATGGAACACAGAACCTCTATAGACTCACCATTAACATGGGTTTCTATTTGAATAAGGTTTATTTGGTTATGAATTTGAGTATTTGAATGTCTGTTCAAATAAACAAATAAATGAATATAACCAATAAAACCCTACAAAAAGTTTAGATACTTATTTCCTACTTATTTCCTTTTTAATTTTTACAAAACATACTTAACATAAGTCAAAACATACTTAAATCAAAAAAGATGATTCACTAATTATTTGCAAAATATGTATGAATATACTTAAAACAATCTTATTTTTTACAGTAATAGGAATGTATATCCTAACTATACACTTAAAATATACCTCTGAATTTAATAATTCATAAAACATACTTATTTTGTAACTTACTTTATATATCCTTAAAACATACTTAATTTGAAATACAAATAATAAAATTATTCTTTTTGCATCTAAATAATTGACCAATCCAATTTCACTTCTGACTGATAAATGAATGTGTATGACTAAATAACTAATGATTTATTTGATTAATTACACAACAAGGGCATTAGTATTTGACTTTAAGGCTGAGATTATTTTTGGTCTTATTAACAACTTCAAAAAAATTTTAAAGCAGATACATATGACAAAGAAATTATATATCAAATTTGTGTGGTAATTGCTACACAGCAAGGGTATCAAACGAGGGTATGAAGACATTCAATTCGAAATTTTAATAATAAAAAATTGTGTATATCACCAGAAATTTTTTGGAAAATAAACTTGCCCCTTGATTTTTAGGACATGTCACACGACTATTAATATGGAAAATTGCGAATTTCCGTGTACTGATATGAATTTTCTCATTTACAAACTGCTTTTGTCACCATTGAAGTTTTTGCTGATGTACAGATAAAATGCAAAAAACGCCTTCTTGAGAGTTTATTGCAGGAAAATTGTTTGGAACCATCGTTTAATATGAGATGTAATATTATTTTTGTATTTGCATCATGTAATTGTAATATGATTTTTTATTTGTATGCTACTACTTCAGCAATGTTTTTATATCAATAAAGTGAGGTTCAATGGGCCGTGATTTTTTGATAGTTAACACTGGTTTACAGTTACTTTAGCCATACTAGCTTTGCCAATGCAATGTCTTAACAGTATATCATATGCTGTTGAACCATTTAGGTTTGAAACATTATTTTAGTGTGCATATTCAATATCCAAATTTCAAATATCATTACCTTTCTTTATACAATATCATTATTAAATAATTTTATTTCTCAAAATATTTAATATCACAACTATAGTAGCCAGATAAATAAAAATAAATAATTTAATATGTAATAAAGTGACAAGATTTAATTTATTCAAGTCATCTGGTATAACTAAAATCAATTTGTTCAGAATCTACAAAATATTTATCACAAGAGTGAATATTGTTAATTTTAAAATTAATAAAAACAAAAGTAATCAATAATTGAATATTAATAATTACCATTATTATTACCAATAATTGTTACTTTATTGGAATTCACAGGTTGGGGAAGGTTTGTAAAATTTAATAATCTACTAGTATAAACTGCATTTGGATGAATTACTGCAGTAATTGTTGAAGGATCAAATTTTATTTCATCCATTTTCTCAAACTTTCTTCTAATTGCTTCATATTTTTCACCAAACTTATAATACTGAAGTGCATTATCCCAATCATAAATAATCTTATAAATTTCTTTAGAAGTTGGACGTTTATCTGGATTAGCATCCATGCATTTGAATGCTAGTTCAATATAGATTTTTGGTGTATTGTTTGAGAATCCTGGTCTTGCACCTCTACATATTTTCACTGCAAGATATTCATCATGTGCCAAATTATTAAATGGTTGTTGGCCAGTTGATACTACAGACATCAGAACTCCAAAACTGTATACATCTGATGCCATTGTATATGCTTCCTCCTTTAAAACTTCTGGTGCAATATATGGTAATACCCCACATATATCATTTTTGCTTGATGATGATGTTTGACTAGATGGGCATGATAATCCTAAGTCTGCAATCCATGAACTCAAATTTTCTTGAAGGATATTGCCACTATGAAAATCATGATGAATAATTTCTTTTTCATGAATATCTTTTAAACCACTAATAATATGATAAAGAATTCTAATTTTGTTTTCCCATAATAAATTTTTAAAATCTTTAGTTAAATAATTTTGAAGACTTCCATCTTTCATATATCTCATTACAAATATATATTCTTTGGTAATTAGATCTTGTGTTAATCCATAAATATGAATTATATGATCTCCATCATAAAACTTCATATAATTTTTGAACTAATACAACAAATAAAATATTTAATTACAACAATAATAATCAATAATATTTAAAAAATCAGAAAATAAATAGAAAAATAAAATAATTTACCTCATTAAGAAATTCATCTGAAATATTCTGTGAATTGTGTAATTTTTTTAATGCTACAGGCATATCCTTGATAGTTCTTTTGTTACTAAAAAAATTTAGATATTTATCACCATTTAACCAAGTAGCTTTATATATAGTTGCAAACCCACCTTCGCCTATCTTTTCAATATTTGTTAAATTATTATAAGGAATCCATTGAAGATAATAATTATTATTATATCTTGTTGCTTTAAGTTGTGTACTTTTAATCAACTCATCTAATGTTTCATTGCCACTAGTCCATCCTTCAGTTAATAGCTTTAGATCACATGATTGACACCATGCCCAATTGGTATTGTATCTATTGCAGGTTGGACATTTCCCATATTTTTCATTTCTTCCCTTTGAATATTGATCTTCATAATCTTCAAGACTTCTATCTTCTATGTATTCCATTACAAAGATAAATTCTTTTGTAGCTGGATCTTGTGTTAATCCATAAGTTTTATTTATAAATGATTTATCATAAAATGTAACATAATTTCTGAACTATATAAAAAAAAAATATATTGAATTTCAGAATAATGTTTAAAAAAATTAGAAAATAAATAGAAAATAAAATAATTTACCTCATTAAGAAATTCATCAGAAATATTCTGTGAATTATGTAGTTTTTTTAATGCCAC